ATATTACACACTTTCGTAACTATTCTTTATCGATAGTGCTAAATAAATCGAGAACCAAATTCCGATTGCCTAGAACAAGAAGTAATAAAATTATTACATACATTCTAAAAAAATGTCGTGCTGCTTCTCAATTCCGCATTTACAAACGCGTTAGTTACCTGAATAACAGCAATACCGATGCCAACACTGCCAAGTTGCACAGCGTGCGACTTGACGTAAGAAAGAAACACAGGGTAACAGCCAGCTTTGTGCAGAGTAGGTGCCGTGTCGTTACAATATGTCAGTCCTATAGCTCCTATTTCCTCGCTACAGCAAGAGATAGGAATGCCCTTCGTATGCAGTGTGGCATTAGTCCAATCAGATGGGCCGTTTGTTCCACAACAATCGAACTGTAACAATTAAAATATACGTATAAATATGTAGTCAGCTACATACCATCATTAAAATTTTTTCGCAGTGAAATAAGTAAGCGTTTGATACGAAAAATAAAAGATTTTACGTACATCGCGCTGGAGGTTGTCCCAAATCGTTGTTATTTCCTTATTACTCGATCCGTTGTAAAATTGCATCGTATCTTTCATTTTGTCCTGAACGACCGATGATGCTCTTGCCCTTAAAACATACCCAGATATACCCCCTGAGAGTTCGAGAATGAAAACTATGACCAATAACGACGTGAACTGGAAATAAGGAATCGGGTAAATGAAAAATTTAGTTAATAAAAGAAAGCATAAAAATATATTAAGCTCGTTAATATAATAGTGTGGAACATAATTTACCGTAACTATCATACAATAGTTTTCACGAACAGCGCCGCAGCATCCGAAAAAGGCGATGAAAAAGATGATTGCACCGACCGCAATCAATAATGAGGGAACAGATAAAAATTTATTGTCTAAGAAATGTTGGTAATCGTGATACACTCCATGAATAACAGCACCGATGGATAACAAAACTATTCCTGTTATCTGAAAATAATAATAGTTTGATGCACATTTCAACTGCCTACATAGATTAACGTTCATTTAAGCAGATTTACTAAATTTATACAAGTGTTTCAATCTTGAAACATTTATTGAACTCGATCGTCTAATTTTCTTTACACTACAAATTGGATTTGCAGAAAATTAGATTAAAAGGTCTTTGTATCCAATTACATAGCGGCATACGAAATGAGGCTAATACGAAGCCATGATATAGAATATAGAATGACGAAACTAATTTATATTTGTTTACCATAGATTAATAATTAATTGTATATAATTAAAATTAGCACTGACGTTCTTTGGCGAATGACGAAAATTCGACAAATTGTTCA